TGTACGAGACCAGTCTTGGACAGCTAATTCAAGTTCATTTGATTCAATCGCGCGATCTCTTTTAGGTAGATCACAAGGGCAATGTGAGATTAGTGATTGGTGCAGCCGGTGGCACGAAAATTACGAGTGGCGTGGCGATTGGGATGCTCTTGAATCTCTGGTATGATTATGACATAAAGGAAGCGATTGATGCGCGCAGGCTTCATCATCAAGTAAGTATGAGCGGTATGACCATTTGAATTTGAGAAAATAATTCTATAATTGAAAACCAAATTTTCATTGTACCATTATAATCCCAATCCGAGTTTTAATTCGTAATGACAATTTCAGAGATTATTATACTAAATCTATTTTAAAAATTATTATTTAATTCCAAGAAATTATTAAATTTGATATTTTACAATTAAAATCGTTTAAAACAGAAAATAAGAAAGATTTTAAAAGAACATATTAATAAAGGATGATTTTAGTAAAATTGTTATTAAAAGATATTCTTAAAATTATGATTTAATTAATTAAAGATAAATTAAAAGATAAATTAAAAATTTAGATAATTTTTTAATTCGCATTTACTAAAAATTTTTCTTGTATAATCAATTATAATTCACACAAACTATTTAAATACTTCGGTATATTTTTTCTTGGAAAAATTATTTCTTAGCTTTTATTATATAAGAAATAATATTAACAATAAGACAAATGAATAAACTTCATTTATCAAACGCTAAATAAATCATCAAATGGAATATACTGTTGAGTTATTATATTTATTAATGATCTTTAAGAAAACTATTGAATAATTGCAGCTATTGCCGATGAATATCCAGAATGAGAAAGATTTTTGTCCAGTCACGTTAGATTATTTGAAAAAAATCGGACACAACTCCACCACTTTTAGCGGAATTGGTAGTGCGATTACGGCTGTATCGAAGGAAAATGGATTCATAACAGCAAACTCGGATTATCGTCGACAAGGAACTACATCAGGACTATAAAAATTATTGTATAGAATTCACGCGGATAACTTTGTAACCAAAGAGGAGCATTGATTATTTTTTTGCGCTACGTAATTTTTCTCAAATTGCAGTAACGATTGTAATTTAGGCATATGATTCCTGACAAATGCTCTCTACAGGGCGTGCAATGTTTGTCTTATGACATCCTATTTATACAAGAATGCAAGAATAAAGTACTTTACAAATTACGGAGTTATCCGCAGACGAATTATATGTGATTAGAATTGTTATGTAAATAAAATTCTTACTTTTAAGAAACAATTTATATGTTTCAAATCAAAATTATTGGCATATGTGCCAATTCAAATATGTGCCGATTCAAAATATATTTAAAATCAATATGATTCCTACTTGGCTGTAAATACTTAAAAATTGTAATTGCGTATAAGTAATATTTATTTTATTATATTTCATCAATTATCGCATCTCTGTACATATTTCATAATGTTTCACATGTTCAAATATATGAAAACAAAAATGTCTCCAGTTTGTGTTTAATACAAATTAAATTTTTATTTTTAGATGTAAACTATATGTTTTTCTATTTAAATGAAAGATAATATAGGATTTTATTCTTGATAATGCAGGCGACACGACAATTCTACTGCATATGCAATGTGAAAATCATGCAACTATATAATATAAAATAACTTTGTAATAAAATGTTTTATTAAAATAAAAAAAAGAATCAATTATGATGTATAGATAAATAATGAATTTTTTTTGTGAAATTGAGAAACTGAACAGTTAAGATAATACAATTATACAAATGCAATAAACTTTCACATATCGTCGAAAGGAATAACGTAAAAAAAACTTAATTATTAGTTACTAATTATTGGTATGTAACGTAAATTTGTCTTAGGTTATTTAGTATAATTTACATAAATTTAAATTCATTTCATGTTATTAACAATTAAAATTAAGAATTATGCTCGTAAAAAATAATCAAGTGGAAGTTGTTAATACTAATATCATGATCAAGTTATTATACTCCTTCAAGTTTTCATTAATCTGCATTTCCATAATCGTGCTGATGTATTATATATCTGTATGATATTTGTTATTCTTGAAATGTTGCAATGACAGAATTATTACTATTTTGCAATCGAAACAAGTTTTGTGTAATGTGATAAACAAAATTTCGTTTATATATAAAATTCAGTACTAATTTTCAAATTACCAAACTAGCAGGTTGATATTTACAGTCATTAATTACGCAACAGAATTATGCATTTTCTGACAATATATTTACAAAGTTTACGGTTTTCTAAAAATTAACAAATAATTTAGTGAAATAAACAAATAAAATTATGTGAATGAGATACATTTTTATTGTCGGAGTAAACAATTTCAACATTTTTGGATGAAGATCTGATTATAATCTGAATAAGTTTAATTGAACATTCAATTTAATGTTAATTTTAAATTTTTATCAAAGAAAAATAAGAAATTATTTATAATTTCCGTTATTTAGAGTTCTCAAATAAAATTAATTTCCAACAAAATTTGTGTGGCAATTTACAATTTAAATCAAAAGAATCAACAGGAACTCTTTCTTCAAGGTTACTGCCGCTATAACAATTAGTATTCTCTTTGGATTTCTACTTCAATCAATGCACTCGCTGTACGTTTGGAATTTAAAATTCGTAATTCCTTCCGTTAGTACATGACCTTTGTATACATTCCGTGTATTAATACTGGAATATATTTCTTCCGTATTTACATCATTGAAGCTAATTTGTTCAATTTTTTATTTGCCGTGAAATAATTATTTCATGCAATTACTGCAATTATCTTTTTACAATTAACATAATTTGTTCTAGAATCTATCCTTTGAGCTAAATCATCTGATTTAAACTATTCAACCTTCTGGTACAGTCTACTTTCGAAATAAAGCAAATTACAGTTAAAGATTAATACAAAATAAAAACTGCACATTTAATAGACTTTTGATCAACTATAAAAGAGACAAAAATAATTATCATCACGCAGGAATAATTTTAGAGAAGTTTCATAAGTGTCCTGACTCACTCTGATCAGTCTGTCAATTTGACAAGATAATTCGCAGTAACACCGCACATCGATCAACGCTTTCATATTATTTCCATATTATACTTCTATTTCGCAGAATATATGTACGTTCTATACAAAATAACATCACAGATCATTTTAGTGATCTGTCTGACGTATAAGAAAGCCGTTTTACTATTTTGAAAGCTTT